TACATAAAGATTAATTAATGGAAATAAGTTATTTGGCCAATGGGACCACGAAATATAATGGATTTAATAATTACTAATAGTATTGTTCGAAATTTATCGAATTATTTTATGCCGTACAGTCATGACAGTTGATAAAATGGATAAGAAATATTTATCGTATTTCCGCCTAAAAAAAAGCCGTTATACCTAAAAGGAACGAGTGAGCAGGCAGCGTCATTGGGCAGGACTCGGGATTCGTGCCACGTACGAACGTTTCCTTCCCGTCTAATGTCCTCGGAGAACTGCCCAGGAAGGGTTATCGGATATAAAGTCTAAATAAAATTCAGGCCTTTAGACCATCTTGAAGTACGCTATTGAAAAAACATAAACATATTTTATACTGAAGAGACGTCACATCACTTTTACGAATGGACATGTTTTTATTGCCTTGGGAAGAAAACCAATAAAAATATAAAGAGCGAATAATTTATAACTAGGCGGACTTAAAAGGTCTATATGTAGGCATGTCCAAATATGAATTCATCAAGTTTTATTAAGTTGCCATAAAAAGAGCCCTATGGAACGTTATCATTAACTTAAATAAAAATAAATATTTTAAGTATTAGGCCATTTTGCTTTTAATTTTTACTTCATAAACACAATTATAGATTTAAAACTCTACGGTAAACATGCTAGCTGCCAAATAAATTTTTGTTAGAAAGTAAAGTATTAAAGGTGATTAATGTATATTTTTGTTAGCAAGAAAAAAAGTTGATAAAGGTGCTTTACATTCAAAAACTTCTGGATACAAATTTGAAAGGAAAAATAGATAAAACGTTTTGATTAAAATTTTGTCTCTGTTTTTCATGATTTATAATGACATAATATTAACTGTGTACAGATGAATAGGGATATTTGTAATTTATTTTTATTCAATTAATTTTAATTAAATGAAACGATATATTCTTGTTAATTGGATAAACCAATATAGAAAATGCAAACCAAAATAAAAAAATTTCATCCTTCTTTTTAATAACGGATTTACCTAAGAATAGTAAACATGAAGATTACTCAATTTGTAAATAAACAACTTTTCTCGTCTTTTCTCCATTTTAATCCAGTTGTATTCTTTTTAACCATAGAAAGACTTCATTTTGAAACAGACGATCTCAATATTAATGTGAGAATGAGCCATCGAAGTCACCAGCAAGTGGATATCTTGGGGCGTCTCTCAGAGTGTGGTCTCTCGGGAGATTCTGAAAGACTGGAAGTGCCAATAGGAGGACTGGTAGTGGATCCGAGCGCACTACGACTCTAAGAGAGGACAGAAATATTGTCATTGCTACAAGACGAAACTCATTCTATAATGTCCGCCAGATCTAAAATGAAGTACAGGATGTTTAGGCAAGGACTTTATCAACACAAACGATTCGTAATAGTTTGTGGGAAGTTGGCCTCACATCGTATTCCCCTTTGAGACGTCCTGCGGCAACAGCTCGCCACCAGCAACTCATGCTGTTATGTTTACTGATGAGTCGTGTTTCTGTCTGTATAGTGACAGCTCAACTGGAACTCAGCTGGTGGCGGGACTCAAAAGATGATTCATTCTTTCAATAAAGTTGCGAACTTCTGGTCCAAGATGGTATCTTTCCATAGTTAAAGAGAATATAAATGGATCAAAATGGATAAAAGACGAGAAAAGGTGTTTGTTTACAAAATGAGTAATTTTCATGTTTATTATACTTAATCTATCTAAATCCGTTATTAAAAATGAAGATTAACATTTTTTTTTGTATTTTCTATTTTCCTTTATCCAACTAACAAGAATTTATCTGTTAGTTTACTTAAAATTAATAGAATAAGAATAAATTACAAACATACATATTTATTTTTGCGCAGTTTATAGACGTTCTATACATAGCGTGAAAGAAGAAGTATGCTGCTTTCGAACGATTGTAGCTGTTATGATTTTTAAAGAGGAACACCAAACAAAGGCGAAAAAAAATAGTTGCTGGCTAATCCTACCCAAAAATGTTTAAATTTCACTGCGTTGAAAATTTATAATGATGGTTTTAAAGGGCGGTTAAAGTTAATCCGAATCATTTCATTAAGGTCTTGGTTTTTATGTATCATTAAAACGATTACTAGTGAGAAATCTAATATTTTCGCGTACTTTAAACTACACCGTAAATAGAAAATATGCGAATGGTTATGACTTAAGTGGAAGAGAACATAATACAAACCAGTTTTTTAGTTGGTTGAATAACATTATTGGAAAAATAATATTCCATTACTCTAATAAAAGTACTCTTGTTAAAGATAAATTTAAAAACTTAATCAATATTTTACTTTTTATAGGAAATTATTTTTTAAATGACTCTTAATATATGAAACTTTAGACAAAAATATTGATCATAAAGTTCAAAAATATAGGTTCTTATTTAGGCGTTGTTAAAATCTTTATGATAGAACTAAAGTCATGAAAATTTCCTAAAGTTACTTACGCAAAAAAATTATTTTTTAAAATTTATTATGAATTTTACAAAACTACAATTTTTAGTCGAAACCAAATTTGTGAGTGTGATAAATGACAAAATGATAAACAAAAATGTAACTTGTAATAAGAAACATTCCAGCAGGTGACACTCACAAAGGGAGGCTACACGTAACAAAAAAAAAAAATATTTATTATGAAAATTAAAATTTATACATAAGAATGCGTGAAAATTAACAAAATGAAAAAGGAATGTTTTTTATACAACAATAGACACCCGTGGAAGTGAAACTCTCTAACACTCAGAAAATGAGTTTGCTGACGTGAGAACTCCGAGGTTTCTGAAACTTGTTTTATAGTACTATGTCAAAATATATTAGAGGTGTGTCCGTGCAAATAACGTTTTTAGTTAATTTTATTGATTTTTAAACTCTATGTTGCCTTCGTTATACATGTATTAAATGTGACATCTATCATTAAATTTTGGTTGTACCTAAGATGAGATGGAGATTGCATTAAATGAGATTACATAGATAAAACGTTAAAACAACCACAAGACGTTACCAGTTTGGTACGTCAAAAAACTACTTTGAAAGTACTATGTGAATTGAATATTTTTTTTTTTTTCAATTAACGTTTTTTAATGTAAGACTATTTGAGATAAAATAGTCAGTGGCACGAGCTGGATTCGAACCCACGATCTTCGGCTAAATACGCCGCTACTCTACCACTTGAGCTATCGTGAGTTCGATCCTCTCCAACACCAACTCTCCATCTCAGCCTACAACCGTCCGAAATTCGCTCGTTTCGCCATTTTCAAATGTGTAATCAGGATTTGTTCTCAGCAAGTTATGAAGTGGCCGCTTTTCTATATCAACCAGACGAGTATGTAACAGTATAAAAATTGTATTTATTAATATTTTTCTTCCAATCTATTTGTAAACTAAATTGTGAAAACCAAAAGAGTCGACACGAATTGTACGTATAATGTTCAATGTACAACTCACATTAAGTGGCATAAAGGCCCATGAGACCTAACTTTACAATATTAAATAAAAATTAATTATTCTTTCAAAGGACTTGGTTGAGATAAAAAAGTCAGTGTCACGAGCGGGATTCGAACCAACGATCTTCGGTTAAATACGCCGCTGCTCTACCACTTGAGCTATCGTGACTTCGATCCACTCGGACACCAACTTCCCACCTCATCCCAACCTTTCGAATTTTCCCTCCTTTTTGCCATTTATCAAAATCGAAATCCGGCTCACATCTTAAGGCTACATGCAACCAAAATTAAATAAATCTCTAATACAAAATAAAAAGGGGAAAAATAGTAAATTATAAACCAAAACGATAGACAACTTCTCGGAGTTGATCAGAAACTCAAAACTTCAACTATTAAGACACATTATGAACATTACAGAAAATAAAGAAAATACGGCAAAATAGAGAAAATTCGAAAAATTGCCGATTAAGATGAGGAGTTAGTGTTGGAATGGATCTAATTAATGCTCAGGTTGTTAGAGCAACGACGTATTGAGCCGAAGATCTTGGGTTCAAATCCCGCTCGAGACACTAGATTTTTCATCTTAACCAAGGCCACATTTAGATAAAAATTATAATTAATTAAAATAAAGAAAACATTTGAAACATTTTGACATTTATTTATTATAACACCTTTTGAGTAATAGTGTTTGTTTGAGGCCAATCATTAGTAGATGTCCATTAAATTTGCAATGTCCCGTCAAAAACTTGTTTCTTTCTGCTTCCTCCGATGCAATACTTTCACATCTTGCCAGGAAACACCACATGTTCCTGTATTCATTGAGTGCTATATTTTTTCTTCTCTCATCCTATATTTACTTCTTAGATGTCCTCTGATTAACTAATCTATTGGCAAAATGATTCAGGTCCCAAGTCCGGGATCAAATTAAACCGTGTTTTGAAGCTTCACTAATTTAGTTTGTGATTTTGAATTATTATTTTTACAGCTTGACTTTTTTCTTGTATCGTCTATTCAAATATCGTTGATATTATCTTCCAGTTGAACACTGTACGACCTGATTAATGGAAAAGATAATCTAGATTGTGATCTTACGTCCTGTATCTCTTTGTCTTCTTACTCTGGAATTTTTCTTCAGATACTGATTAGATATCGTTACAAACTTTTCAAATCATATTTGTCTATATCTCTCCCTCTTATTTAGAGATGAAAATTGGCTAGGACTTCAGTAAATGGTCACTTGAAAACAAATCTAGGTTTTACGGTTTGTCCAGTTTGTCCAACAAGAGGGAAAAGTTATCACCCTACTTACTTTAATCCAATTTGTATGGAATGGGGCACTACCTAATCGGTCGTTAGATGGTAACAAGGCTCTAAGAGTTACTTAAATGCACCTTCGGTAAATAGAGTAACAGGATGGTTTCCCTCTAGTATGAAGGTATCGATTGCCTCGGGGGAAAAGTCCTAAGTTAAGTAGAAACAGGCTAGGAAAAAAGGTTTCTCATCGATTTCATTTGCTTGCAGGAGGGTGAACGTCACCGGCTTCTACCGGCCGAACGCGACGTCGACGCCGAAATGCTGGGTGCCGGTGACATCGCAGAAGTACTACGTCATTTTCGGAGAACTGAGCGACGAAGGCATCACGGCCAAAGACGACGCGACGATGGGAGCAACTGCAGATTGGACGGAACTGAACGAAGCAAGAGTCTGGAAGGGCGTAGGTAAGTCGTTTTACAAGAATATCTCATGAGATAATAATCTTGCATGTTTCCTTTTTAACCCAACATCAGTATCAACATTTCGGACCTGTTCTTGAATCTTTTACCTCATGTATATTGTCAGCCATGTTAAAACAAAAATAGAACTTCAAATTGTTAACGATGAGGTGGACATAGTCAAGCATGAAGAGACTATAAGTATAATTTAAAATTAGTGAAACGATATTCTTCAGGTTAAATTTTACGCCAAGTGTTTGAATTTGCCTACTACGGTATCAAATCAAAACGCAACTACTATTGTTTGCAGTTGCCCTGTAGTTGTTTTAAGTTTAGTCCGTTTATAAAAATCACCAAGTTATTAAGTAAGCCAGTAACGCTGCATTTTAGAAAAAATCGTTAGTAAAACCTTTTTACAGCCAATTGGTTACACAGTGATTTAAGCCCGAAACACACTTACCTGATGCAACACTATGCGACGCCTTGCCACGTTTTGCGTGTGCACATCTATGCGAAGTCAAGTCCACGTCACGTACAGTCACACAGCGTGTATCACAAATCTCTATCACAATCGCAACGCCTCTTTTGTTCTTAATGCACTGTTTTGGGCAAAACCTTGTAATAAATTGTTAGTTTAAATAATTTAAATTGTTAATTTTATTAGCAGAACCATGTAATACATTGATTAAACTTAATTGTTTCAAATGAAGTTATTCCAGTGTCTTGATAAATTTTCTTGCTAACCATCATAAATAAATAATTTTTATAAAAACTTACGTATTTTTGATCTCGTTTAATTTGACTTACATCAAAATAGGAACGTTGTAATTAATATAACGACAAAATTACATATACTTAGCTTGAAAAACTACAAAAAATATGAGTGCCCTGTTCTGAAGTTACTCGACGAAAATGAAGTAATTTTATGAGCAAAACCATGAAATAATTGTTAGTTGAATTTTGTGAGGAAAGCCGTGTAATAAATTCTTAGTTAAATTCATTATTTTAAAAAATAGAATTCCGGTGTTTTGATCAATTTTCTACCAAACCATTAAAAAAAAATTTAAATAAAAACTAATGAATTTTTGATCTCAGTTAATTTGTTTATATTAAAATAAGTGTGTTGTAATTAATATAACGACAATAATACATGTAGTTTGAATAAAAATATGATATCTGGTTCTTTTGTCTTCGAATGTACTCGATACTACCCGACGCAAATCCGGACAGTGGGGATCACGTAGCGTAGAGTAGGGTGCGTAGCGTAGCATCGGGCAAATGTGCACGGGGGTAATGCAATCTTATGGAAAATTGGACTCTGGATTTGCGTCGGGTGGCATTCTGACATTCATGTGAAAAACTTCAGTATTGATTTTCGCTTTATTAAAATCATTATCAATTCACAAAGATGATGCTTATAAGTTCTAACCATGAATTTATAATTGAGAACACAATGTGAAGTTTGCAATAGCATGTGAAGAAAATGCATACCTTATCTAGATTTATTATTATACATGTCACTCATCTTTTTAAAGAACAAATATTACAAACAATTAGATAAAACGTACTTTAAAACTAAGTGCTGTAAATAAACTTAAAATGCTATTACAAATGTTAAAACAAAATCATTATACTATTAAACTTGTAAATAAACTTTATAATAATCAAAAATATAAATATTACAAATGGGAATATGAATTTACACAATGATGTACACAACATAGAAATTTTAGGTTTAATCAAAGTACTTGTACTTACTCAACAATACTCAACAGTGATACATCTGCACAGAACACACATAATTTGCGTGAGAACAAATACTTTGATTAAACCGAAAATTTCTATGTTGTTTACATCATTGTATAAATTCATATTCACATCTTACATGTATTTGTATAATTCATAACAATGTTTATAAATTCTAGGCTCTGAGATGATCTTAATAAAAATGGAAAAGTTGGCACGATAAAGAAAACTTTTTTTAAACCTACATCACACTAGACGACATTCGTTTCCCACTGGGGTCGCAATGTAATGTAACATTGAGGTTCTTTAGCGTGCGCACCTAGCCGTCAGGCCCTATCACACGTTTTAGATTCTCAAGTTAGGAGAGACTCACCTCCGCGCACGGAAAATCTGCCTAATCCGTGAGGTTCGGTGTAAAAGAACACAAATCCACAGACTAATCGACATACTGAATTCTCCCCCTTGCCCCTTCACCTAGAGGAGACCATGCCTACGGTAAAGGCAGCCCAGACGACCACCACCGACAAGCATCCACCCCCGTCCACCATTCCTCACGCATTCGAGGGACGCCGGCAGCGTAGTCATAGCTCCTCGCTGGATACACGCTCTCGGCAATCCGATCCATCCGATTCCCAATAGGTCGGGAGGTAATTCGGAGGTCATGCGCAAGTACGACGGTCCACGGCCTCGAATGAAACACAGCCTCTTCTCTTGGTGCCCGCCAGAGGTCTCACTACTCAGCCACTGCGTCACCATTGTTTTGTACCTGGAAACTCCCCTTGTATACAAGGGTTGGGAAGGGTCTGCTGGAGTCTCCAAGGAGCACGCGCTGCACATTCCCAGGATTTAGATTGAGAAAAAGGTACATAAATTTTTGGAGATGCGCTTGCCCTCACATACATCTCACCTGCTCGCTCGACGTCACCACATTAAAAAACTCGACGAGAAAAATTTACCCTTCTTCTGCGGCATCTCATTGAGATCCGCCAAAAGACAACCTCCTAGCCGAGCTGATTTCACGTCAGTCCCCAAAGCATCACGAACTCATCTTTTCAGGAAACACCCGCTCAGCTCCAAAGACTAACAGCCCAAACCTGGTTCAATCTCCTCCTCTAAGCCTCTCGCCATTTTTCGAATAAGAACCCTACTAATGGCACTTCGTAGTTGCTCAGAAAGACACTGGGCAAACCCCCCTTCTGCGGCCTCGTGCAGTAACACAGTCCTCCAACATTATGGCGCCTCTTGGCCCGAGAGACGACAGCCGATACCAGACGACAACTCGTGGTCTCTAAATAATCATGAATCTACCTGCAATAACCATGACGTCTACCCCTGTCTAAAAGTAATCTGTAATGACCGCATTACAGATTCTCAACCTGCAGACCACGTAGAGAACTTTCATTATTTTAATATTGTGTATGTTACTAAAGTTCATTATGCTTTGTATTTAATTATAGCTGCCTATTTAAATTCTCAGTCGTTTGACGTCTTCTTTCATAGATCAGAAAAGCTAACCATTTTCATGGTTCAAAAGAAATAAACATAGTAGCATAACATCTATATAAGAAATATGATTTAATGTTTCGTATGTTAAGCTATGCAAATCAAATCTAAAGAAATCTTTTTACATTCGGAATGCTTTCGATTCGTGGAATTCAAATCAGAGGCGGAGGCGGTGAAAGCGAGGAAGCCGCGACTGTTAGTCAACGGGAGGAAACCCGACGACAACCTATGCAAATATTATTGCATTATAATGTTAATATTCCATTTCGTTTCTATGTAGCCTTCACTAACTAGCTTGTTATGCTAATGCGTTTTTGAAATATGCCAAGTACCGCGGGGACGGAGGAGGTTGACGGATTCCAGCGTACAATTACAGAGGGCGGGCTTAACCGGCTTGGCGAAATCTCTGCATAATATCGTTTTGAGCAGAGCTGTCTTGATCTGCTTGAATTTCACCGAGAGTCGGAGTTAAGGGGTTAGCCACAGTGTTTCGGTAAACTCAAAATAAAAAAATGTGAAGGGAAACTATTAACAGTTAAGGTCCGATAAAATAAACAAGTGGCCTCTCCATTCGACAACAGCAATTGATGTAATGTTAGTACAGGACTTGGGAAGTTTTCATTGAAAATACCTGTAATTTCACAAGCACCTCCAGTGAACAAAATGTTATATTTTCTGTTTGTAAAAGGTAAATAACCGAAGAAAAAATGCCAATTTGTCAAATCTGGTCTATCCGCGTCGATTATGTACACTCCGTTCCAATCTATTTATTGTGTGGTATTTAGTGACCGGTAATTAATGATTATTTGGAGATCGTGAGATGCGGTATGGTGCGACGTAGGTTTCAGAAAAACATTGTCTTTATGGTGCCTACGTTTCGATCTTTGTTGAGATCATCATCAGGGCCTGGGATTTATAAACATTGTTTTATTCATATACTATACAAATACTTTGATTGAATCTAAAATTTCTATCATAGTATAAATTCATTTTTTTCACATCTTCCATTTATTTGTATAATTTAAACAACAAAACAATTTTTCCATGTACTAGTCGTGTTGATAAGAGATGGTAAGCGTAAATTCAAACGGCTCTTTCTAACGTTGTCCAGATATTGAAAAATAAGTTAAGAACAACCCCGTGGAAGAAAGCATTTTTCCAACTAGTGACGGTACCTGAGTATATACCATGAGATTAGAGGCGTCAAACCATCGGTTCAAAACGTTTATTATAATAAATAAACAGTCACCCATTTCCACAAAAAGTGGTCCGTTTTATTGAATTTCCCAGTATGCTAACCAATATTATCTTTCTAAGAAAAGTCGTGTTCTTGGAAAGTCGTATCGTTATATTTATAAATATTTATCAAATCAATGGAAAAAAGTAGGATCATGGTAACTAACTTTATACATATTAAAGTTACAAAATCCAAGTCATTGATTTCCTGAGTAATAACGTATTAATTGGTCATGCGGACCACGAAATTAGTGAAAACAATAATAATTACATGACACTTAACTTAAAATCAATAATTACCGACAATCAATGTCGAACAAGCGATCAAATTTCATATTTACTGACTTTTTTTCACGTTATGTGCAAAACTAAAATTTGGTCCTTTAAATACTATTTTTATTTAGTCTTTTTTTAAATACCTTACATTCGAATATTAGCCAATTAATGTGAGGTGTTTAGTGATCGTTAGTTAGTGATTATTCGGAGGTCTTGAGATGCGGTTTGGTGTGACGTAGGTTTTA